AGAAAAATTGCTACACTTATCCCATCCTAACTACTGCAGAGTCATCAAGGTCTCCCTCGCAAAATAGGAAATTCATCTCAGTCACCTTCATTATGGTTATATAATTGACAATGACTTCATCACGATGTTCGCGACCACTGATAACACTTGCTTTTAAAGAAAACTATAAATGTCATAAAGTTATATATTTTTAAGTCGCAATGTTCAGAGCACTACCAATTTGTATATTGCAATTATGATTTGCTAGCTATTTTTTATTTCACTTATCTGTTATTGTTCATCATTGATTTATTTTACCGACTTGTTGTGTTTGTCGGAGAAGCAGCATTGTTGTTGTTTGTTGATGAAACCCGATTTAAGAGCTTCTTGGCAAACAGGGTAACTCAAACTAAACTTAACCGAACTGAAGCATAGGAGAAGAATGGGCGAGGTGGCTCAGAGTAATGAGCTTGGTATGAATCCAGCCATAGACACGCAATAAAACTAGGTTCTTACATGTAGTCAGTTGTGAGTTGGTCGCAAATACCATACCCTGTATTTTGCACTTCATTTTTGGTTCAATGCCAGGTATGAACATTTAAACTATTGATTTGATAAATATTTATCAATGGCACGGCATGTCAGAATGTGCACCCTACTGTTGTATGGATAAAAAAATATTTTCCTTTTAGAGATTTCAACTCTAACAAAGTGGGTGCATTTCTAGATGTGAGACTTCTAAATGGAAGTCTAGTCCTATCATAATGTCAGGGCAATAGCACAAACGAAATCGAATTGGGGTTGAAAAAGAATTACAATTAATGATAAGGGACGTTTAATTTTGCCCTGCAATGGCGTTTACACTTCTTGAAGAAAATGTTGGCAATATAATAAAGAGAGCAAATTAGAACGCCTTCTACCCACAAACTTGTTCATTTTGAAACGGTCATTCCTCTCCATTATTATTCCCAAATGTTTTCCTGATACAAAGGATCAATCAGTGTTCTGCCTCAATTAGCTCAATATTTTTATGATTAAATCGACATTTGGGGGGCGGCAAAGGGGCCAATTTTGGAAGCGGTAGAATACAATCATTTTAACCGTTCAGATAGCTACAGACTTAGCGGAAGCGAATCATCAAATGATACAGGTCACCATACTTCAATAGGGATTACTTTGGTACGGCTATTTTAGTACACACAATCGACATGATGTACAAGTAAAATGTGCTTGCATAAATAATGTACATGGATAATGTACGTTGATTACCATATAAATAACCCAACCGCCAATAGATACCCATGCAAATAGTGCGCACAAGTGATGCCATCACACCTACCTCTCTAAGGAACAAAAAGGGAGGATTTCTCCACAATTCTGGCTGTCGCCTGATGAATCTAGTTGTAATTACTGGCGAAACGCCGTGCTCAAGATTGTAAATGTTGTGGCTTTTGCTCTCCAACACACCGTTGTGCTGTACTAGTAATGAATTGGCACATTCTGTTCATGAGACAAACCTTACTAATTGGCTGTATTGGGTGGTGGCAGGTTTAACGACACATTTATATATTAATGCATCTAAACCATAAATACCTGTATCATGGATATTGGTCGCGAAAGCCTACGTGTTAAACATACAACTGGGACGTTATTGTAATGTACCGTTGGTGCCTTGGTGAGCAGTCGTTTACCTGATAGGCATATTTCCTGTGCAGTTTTTTCTGATCCTTGAACCATTCAATGAGCTCCTTCATGAACGTGACCGTCACTTGGCCATTATCCACCTTCGGTCCGGTGTAGTCATCCTCAATGGCTGAAATGAAACCCATGGGGCAAAACACATTCACGACTCATTTCACCATGCAAGTTTCATTTGCTTACATTTCCATGGAATTGGCAATGTGACTGCAAGTCGTGCGTTAGGAATGTGCGTTATCTTTAACAATTAACTTTACAGCAGACAATACCTCTTTGGCAATTCCTCAAACCAATATAGAAGACGCTGCCGAACTTAAAACGGTCAACTCATTGACTGCGTGGTCCGAACAGGCTTTTAACCTGCTTAGAAAAAAATAAATTTACTAGACACGTTAATTTTCTAAATCCGTAAGCTCAAGAGAGATGCTGTCTGTCTACAGCACTCAAGAGCTGTGGTTGAATGACTCTTAAGCCGTAAGACTTTCCTGCGGCAAAGCTTACCCATGCTATCCAGGTCCAAGCATCGGCCACAGACTTTTTGCTGTCGTCGCTCGCGATGGCGCGCTCAAACGCCTTGCGCTTCACGATCTTGCTGCACTCCTGGTACTTGAGCTTGGCGTCCTTGTCGTTGGGTCTTACTTTCACCACCTGAACAGGCGATTCAATTAAGAAATGAAAGGAGTGCGATTCAAAGGAATACATTTTTTTTTTTAATCGTTTAATAAATTATTAAAGCGATCCACGTAGGGAAAATCCCTGGAGGTGGAAGATTTCGTTTTCGAATGACATACTTCGATAGTTCTCAGTGACACTGGTGGAACAATCAACCGCACCAGAACATCAACTGGCCGATAAGCACAACTACTGCATGAATGGAAATTAAAAACAAGCCACAGTTGTGCGATTGTGGCCTTGCAATGCAAACTATGGGCCATACAGTAAACCACTAGTCTGCGCTCCTTCAAATGCAGCAACAAAACGTCACCAACTCTCCTGAAGCCCTCTCGTAGCTAGCAGACCTCGCCATTGCCATTTAGCTCCAGAATATACTGCCACACGCAAGAATAGAATTGACACAAACACAGCAAACGCATGACATGTAAAAAACAATTTCAAAGTATATACTTATGAATGGCATAGCTTTGTGCTATCAGGAAATCTGGGAATAAGACAAGGCCAAGAGTAGCTTTAAAAAATATAACTCTCATCCCTCTTTCTTTCTACTTTATTTAGCCTTAATCAGATACTAAGGGAACCTGAAAATAAAATAACTCGAAGGAGTAAACTACCAACAGTTTTAAAAGAAAACCATTGGAATGGAAATTTAAATAAAATTCTCACAAAAAATATAAAGCAAAAAACTACTATAAATGTACAAAATCTGTAGCAACTTAATCAAACCGAAAATTCATAAAACGGGGCATATCAAATTCTAAACAATTAAAATAATTATATAAACAAATGAAGCTACAAATGTCTTCAATACAACTGCAAGTAATTGCCCTTGGGATAGTGACAATAAAGAAGTAATCTTACCTACATCACAAGGTCTGTCTGAACTGTCATAATTCAATAGATGTGAAGGCAATTGTGTAAATATTGTGTACACAGACCAATGATAATGCTCCCTGGTCTGTGTACACATCACTCTTGTCTAACAGTATGCCAGTGTAACATGGTTTTGTACCGATACTATATACATCAAACTAATATCAAGAATATCCAATAAATAAAAACTTGTTTACCTCCCTTGTATATTTAAAAATGTATGTTTGTTACAACTGTACTTGTTTTACCCAGGTCTCTATGGAAACAGAAACTTTCGGTTTCAGTGTGGTCTATTCTGGTTCATAAAGGTCATCCCATCTGGTAATAAAGGTCATCTGGTTATGAAGGTCATCGTTTTTTGACAGTGAGGTTTCAAGCAAAGTCGTTGATAATTTAGTCGTTTAAATACAACTGTTTGGTTTTCATCGTTCAGCTCTCAAATAGTATTTACAAATATTTCCCATCCAATGGAGATTGCTGGGAGCTAAATAAGATGGTGAGCCGACAAATATCCAGTGACTCCTCTGTATGCTCATGGAAGTAGTAATAACATATCTCCTTCTAAAGAAGTAATTATGTAAAAAATATGACCTCTCAGTTCAGCAGACATTCCAGTGTAATTGTAGGGCCATTTCTAAACCCAAAAAAGGCGGAGGGCAGCACCAATTATTCCAAGTAGATGCCTATAACAGCCACCCGGCCTTATAGAATTATCACCATACCTATTTAAGATGTGATTTTCAAATTGATTTGCAGGTTTAAATGCAAAACTACAGGCGGTAGAATGCTGATATATGGTAAATTGTGACAGTCCCATGGTCTAAAAGGTTGTTAAAGATTGCTTCTAAATAAATCGATTTGCATGAAGAGCAACTTGCTTGATATGTGGCCAACAAACTTAAACCACGAAATATTTTACGAGCAATAACAGGGCAACTACCAATTATAATTTTCCCCGAGTCACATCAAATGACTTTTGGCAATCTGGATTTAATTCCCAGTTTCCACAAACTATTCACCAAGTAAACATCTGGGTTCTAATTATCACAGAGCACCAACACCGAATAAGGCAAATGCGAATCTGGGAAAGCACGATAAGACACGGGCGGGCAAACGGCAAATGGAACGGTGCAAAAAGAGCAAGAGTGCAAACGCAGCCAGGGAATGATAAGTCCACATTAAATTGGCAGCCCACACAGACAGAAACCCATCTCTGTCACGGTCACAAGCAGGAAGCTCCACAGGCAACAATACTGCGTGGTTCCTTCGGCAGGGAGTGTGAGAGCACTATTCACAAGAGCCCATAGAAAATCCAACAAAAGATGCTAACGTGAAAGTCAAGGTCATGGCGGCATACCCTTTGTAAAAATGTGTGTAGAATAGTCTTAGCTACTGGCTCCTAATGTGTTCCGTGATTTGTGACTGCAGAGCATATGTTTGATATTGAAACTGCATTACAAGTCACTGGCCTGCTCAGAGAGCTGTCATGTGCCAGGAATCAAGTAATGATCCAGTAGCACAGTATTCATTTATTCAATTCTAGTGCACTTGGTCACAGAAGACTGCATACATTTAAAGTATACTTTTCCAATTGTGTTTTTTTGTTCTATGTACACAAGTACAGCAAATGGCACACTTTCCTGTACACGTTTGGAATACAGTCGAAAACATGCAGGTGGCATGCAAAGTTGCGTCACTCCTAATGCTGAAAGCTTAACAAAAAAAAGCCTTTGCTCTGCCCCGAGGTCCAACACCATAAAAGTGTAGCGTAGCTCTCAGAGACACTGTCTTGTTCATTTATATGTGAAATGAGTCCAACTCAGTCGCAGACATTGTCTTGGGAGCAACACGTTTTATTTAACTCTTAGCACAACATACTCCAGGCTATTAACACAACATACTCTCGGGTGGTGACCACCCGCTAACCACGCTACGGCGAAACTAGACGCGGTTCCACTATCCTGGTCCGGACCACAAGCTGGGTCCCGGACCGCGTGGCTGGAGGCTTCTTCAAGCTTGACGTGGATCTCCTGCCTCTCCAACAGAAACAACCCCGAGCCCCTCTCAGGGCCCCCCTTATATGGGGCCGGGCTGGGGCTGGCTCCGCCTCTCGCCCCGCCCACCTTCTCGATCTCTTTCGCCCTTGTCTGAAGGCTCTCGAGAATTCTTCTTGAACCATGTGACCACCCATTGGCCCCCTCCACCGTTGGCCCCCTCCAGTATCGTCGGGTCACATGACCCCAGGTCAGTCATAGTATCATGCCCCCAACGTAACCCTAGCTGACACTCTCTCGCTCTCTCAACGGGAGACCACACGCACGCTGTGCGTGGTGCCACCGCGCTTAACCAGTGCTCACCCAAGCCCCCACTAGGGCTGGTACTACACCCCGTGTCCGGGGTGTACACACAACAGTATACATCCCGCCGTGGCCTTGCAAGCCCGGCACCACACAGTGGCATTCCCAGTCACTACATGTGTATATTTATTATGAATAAAGTCCGCCGACTCACTGATAACTTAACGAGCAACCGCGTGTGACTATATACACTTGAGTAACTTAGGTAACTCTATTCTGAGACAACATAACTCTAGTCTTCAAAGACTACAAGTTGCCCACTCTAGGATGATAAACACGACCCGCTCCAAGATGACGACGGCGACGGCAACAGCAGCCCAGAGCCCCGGTTCACACCGGCTTTTATCCCCTCATGACCCGGGCACGCCCCTATTCCCGAACCCTCTCTCACCACACCTGGCCCTGTCTGTCTCTGCCCTTATTACAATTTACAACCGTTAGGTCCCGTGCTTCCCCTCACTCAACCCTGTCAACGCTTGTCGCATCAATCATTATTAGCGACCACTTAGGTCCCACATTACCCTAACGTGATCCTGTCTGTTCCCATTACGTTAATTAGTAACCATGGCCACGGGAAGCCGTACTGTCCCTACATCACCCCGTACTGTCCTTACAAAAGTCATGTGAATAAATGCAAAATGCAGTCCTGCAATTGCTTGCTCACATCACTGTTGGCAGAAGGGCTTCCACTGCTAGGCATCTCTGTCCACTCTTCCATGCTGGCCTGACATGTTTGAAGAGGTGGAAGTACCCGCACTTTACCCCACCACATGCACTCTGCTGATCGACAAACTGCAGTGCACCCACTTATACTGCTGGGTGGACTGAGGTGGGGGGTGAATGTGCCCCGTTTTTGAGGTTGAGGTTCATGGAGGACCAGGCCTATCCCAATCCCTCTTGATCAATCCCTCGTTTTCCTGGATCAAAACTACACCACCATTTACAAAAGTCCTAATTCTTAATTTTAAATTATTGTCATGCAACGTACAATTGAATAGTTGCTGTAAAGGGCCTTGCTAAAAGGCGCTATATAAATCTCATTACGATAAGATAAGCTGGGTCCATTAGATCAAGGCCGGAGAGCACTTTTAGTTTCCGAAACCTCAACATAGGATGCCAACCTCGGTCTCGCAGGCCCCCCACCCAGCACAGGCCCCCACCCAGCACGGGCCCCCCACCCTCTCACCGTCTCATAGTCCTTGAGCGCCTCCTTGAACTTGCCCAGTGCCATTTTGGCGGTGGCACGCCGGTAGTAGCCCTTGATGTACGCCTTGTCAAGCTCGAGAGCGCGCGTCGCATCCGCGAGCGCATAGCCGTAGCACTCGGTGCGCAGGTACGCCAGGCTGCGGTTCCCGTAGTAGATGGCATTGCCGGCGCTCAGCTCGATGGCGTCCGAGTAATACTTGATGGCGTTGTCGTAGTCCTTCACTGCAAGGGGTATTGGGAAGAGAGGGCACACGGGATGATAATTTTCCACATTATTGTATGGACTCTCAATAATCCACACCTAAGTTGACTGCACTTGAAATCAACTAAAGCATTTTAGGAAATCCCACATTTTAAGAAGAAACAATACGTCTTTACCAAGTTACGTGGGTCTTTACAGTTGCGCTGTATTGCTCTTCGACGCAGCATGACCCGAAACACATCGGTGATCCTTTGTTTGTTCAGTTTACGATGGAAAGGTGGTACACAAAGGGTGGACGAAAGCTGAACATCCCAAGAATGCTGCCATGCATCAGCTGGCCAGTCTCGTGGTCAGCATACTGTCGTGGAATTATCTGTCCAATTCCTGCCACTTTAATGTCATTTTGCTACAAAGTTTACGTATTTTTTTATAAAAAAATATTTTAAAAAGGTCAGCGTATACTATCTTTGGGTGTCTTCAAGCTTGAACAAATCTGGGTAACGGTCATCCCATTTAGTGGCCCTTTACCAGTGGTGGAAATGCCGATCTCATCGCAGGATACAGTCTCTCACGAATAAAACCAATGTTGACTTCCCATAAAGCAGTAATCATTGTATTGTCCATGGAGGAGCAAGATAGCGCCCGATACAAATTTGAACCCGCCATATTGCGATTGTCGATTTGGTCGTCGACCATAACACTAATCCAAACTAAAATAATAAAACTTAACCGCTTTGGGCTGTCACACGAGTAATTTAAGAGCATTAATTATGCATTTAATAAAATAAAAGCAGCTAGTTAACAGGACAGTTCATTAAGTGTACTTAGACTTTTCATATTTACTAGCTGGTTTGCCCGTCCTCGGACGGAAGCTGAAATATTAAAGATGTACATTTACGTTTTCTTGTGTGATTGTATTTTTTTTAGGAATGTTGCACAAAGATATTTTTCTTAACTTATTAAATGAAATTAAGGACTTTGTAATATTTCTTGGTATACGATATTTTGTGTGAATCTCTTATCACTGGTCAAAAGGTTTCCCTACAGTTGACTATCCTTGATGAACACTTTCATCCGCTGAGGATTTTAGATCTAGACAGAGCCACGTACAACTGTTCATGGGAAAATACAGGTTCATTGAGATAAATACCCAAATTTTCAAAAGTCTGACCCTGGACTTGTTGATCGTCATCCCATATGCAGGAATTATCAGAATTTGTCGTCGTTTCAGTTCGAAAGGAAGAGTGACATCACTTGGAGCTAGGTCGAGTCTCCTGATGAAGACGATTTCGCCTCGGTTGCATTCCGATACAATATCTGTGGTGATCAAGTTATTTTGTAATGATTTGACCATAAAACGCGTTCCATTGCAAAGACCGCTCTTCGGTTCAGATTTCGCAGCAGCATGATGATAATGCCTGTCTTCAGTGCCAATGTGTGTGGCAGCATTCCTGAAGGCGTTTCATCATGAAGAAATTCTGGAGGGTAATTCAATGCGTCCGCAGAATCTTCTGACACGATCGAGTCAGACCTGTAATAAATTCAGAGATATCCACACAGCTGTGTGATGATGTTTCTGTTCATTTCGAGAATGTCCTTGTTGGTAGGTGCCAGAATCGCTCTTTTCGCAAGCTCTTCGGCAGGCATGTGTTGCAAGTTCTGACCTAAACTGCGGTGACCAGATCATCAACCGTTATCATTTTAGGTGGAATTTCAATGGAACCTAACGGCACACCAGATATCTCCGGCAAACTTCCCAATCCAAATTTCAGCAGCCAATTGTTATGTTCATTTTCACCATCACTCTGAAGGTTTGCCGTGAGAGTCAATTTGGTAAACTGCTGCCATAATACGCTGGATTTGATGCAGCACTCGATAACATCAACATGGGTGTCTTTTGCTACAACCAGCAAAGTCTGTCCTGAAATCGCCACCGATTACGACGACTTTTCCACCAAACGGCCATTGAATCTGCAGGATATCGCGCAACAGCTGATCGACACATCGAAGGCCATGCTTTGTCAGCATCGTAATTTCATCAATGATGATGAGCAAAGCTTGTCGTAGCGTTTCGCCTTCTGGCGAATTCAGTCTCATCGACGCAAACGATGTGTCGAGGAGGGGAACTGGAAGCTTGAATCCGCTGTGCGCATTCCGCCTTTCAGTAAAGTCGCTGCGATTCCAGTGGTCGCAAAAGGAAGAATGTTTTGACCTATTCCACAAACAAATGAGACCAGCGTGGAGTACAGAAAAGCCTTTCCAGAGCTGCGAGTTGATGTCGTGCAGAGCCATGTTCAATGCAACATTTCCGTTATGACGCCGTAGATAATCCAGCGACATGTCAAGTGAATGCTTGTTCCACAACAGGCGAGCGTTTGTTGGCATACAGAAGCAGCAAATGTATGCAAATGTCTGTCGCATTTGATATGTCGCGGACTCCTATATGCTTCAATCCCATTCTTCGTCTGAATCCAGAAAATGACGATGAAAGGCAGCTTCCTTGAAGGTGTTGTAAACGACGCCATAGACGGTTTTGAGGAATTCAAAACTGGCAACGCTTTTGACGTGCAGCAAGAGCATCCTCAGATAGAATCACTCATCTTTGATTCCAACAGTGTACAATCTCGCAACGATCTTAGTGCCTCCTCTTTGTCGCTACTTCCAGTTTTTTATAATTGTATGGAATGTCGTTGTAGAGAAAATCTTGGGCATTTGGATCAATCACGTTGAGCTGAAACAAAGATTCGAGCTTCGTGCAACCAGTTCATGCGGCTTCCAACGCCTCTTCTTCTCGACCTTCTTGAAACAACGCATTGCTGATTTGGCAAATGCACGGGCAATCTCATCACGGAACGCAAACAGTCATGCATTGGCGACTCAAGCAAACACCACATAGCTTCTGGTGCACTCACGTACCTTGCGTTGATGAAATTTGACAACTTGTCGTGTAGAAGTTGAGGATTCTCGCCGGCAGTGATCGTCATTTTGGCACAGTCGAATCCTTTGTAAATATTTATAAATATATTTCACAGCTCTAAGTGACGTACAGACTTCGACGTTGATGTGAGCATTATACCACAGCAGCAGATAGGGATTGTACGGCACCACATATCTGTTATCCATTGATGATTCACGAACATCACCTGAAATTCCTTGTCGCCGATAATACAGAGGATATCCGTTCACATTGTGTGCTGTCGTGGTAGCAAATTGCTTCTGGAATGCCTTTGAGCACTTACCATCTTGCATGCAGGGTGTTCGAGGATTCGCAGCTGCGCATGGGCCATGCATCATGCATCGTGACAATTTCGTGCAACCGCGGATTTTCAGTCGCAACGGGAATTTCAGCAGACACAACTTGATCGATGGGCTCAGAGCTTGTGAATTTATTGTCAACTCGCAATGTTATCAAGATGTGTGCATGAGGCAGTCCGCGTTTCTGGAACTCGATGGTGGAGACGAAAGCCGTTGAGATTCCCAGCACACCATGTGCAGTGAGATCCTGCATCAACGATTTCAGTTTCAACTTGAAAACAAGTGCCACTAAGTCCGGTCGATCAGATGCTTGTTCACCTTGCTGCAAATTGTTGGCAATTTCTTTCCAGCTTGGATTCGCAGTGAATGTGATGAAAAGATTAGGAGCGCCTGGCTTCGCGAAAATCGACATCGTGTCCGCGCTTTGCTCTTTCATGTTCCGGGGTGAACCTTCGCAAAATGAAGGCAGAATAACAGGAACTCCGGCTTGTGCTCCGGCTTGTCCCCCAGCGTTTCCATGTGATCGGCAAGTCTTTGATGAAGCTCAACTCGTAATTTCTGCTGATATTGGCGAATGTAATTCAAATTATTCGCTTCAACCTGCAGGTACGAATCGACAATCCACTGTCATGTGAACTTTCCAGCACTGATTCGTGGTTTAAATGTGCCTCTGATAGCCGTTTGCGCTGCAACATAATGTAATTTGGTGACATTCCTCTCGTTGCGTTGACTTGAGCTCCAGCATAAGCCTCACGTTGCCAATTTAGTTGCCATCCAGTTTCACGAAACAAATACAACAGCGGATAGGACATTGCCTCCAAATTTGGTCTCAGAATGTTCAGATTAAACATAGGCTTTTGGGAGTTGTCTGGATTCTTCAGATACACGCGAATGTCACATTCAAAAGGCGGCTCACCATCGTTGTTCACAAACACCATAGCGATCTCGTTGGCAGTTGGTGCATTGTAGTGACGCTGATCCTAATGACGATCTCGCCGAAACACCAAATTCACAACCGGCGTCGCCTCGCCTGCAGCATTTGCTTCCTGTGCAGCTCAATCTTCTACTTCAGCGAAGTATGGTGTATGTGTTGGCGAATCAATTGTGGATTCGAAAGTAGCGGTCAATTTGATCCAGAAGCCGTGGATTGCACTGAGTGTTGGCAGGATGATTTGTTCGAATTTCTGTTGCTTGTGTGCTGTCGACAACGTAAAGTTGAGCGTATTGTCTTGCTTGACCATTAGTTGGTTCAAGATGGCTTTTCTTGTGCTAAATTTTGCCATGAACCTTGAACACGTAAGGACTGCCTCCATGGAAGTCAACAACCTTAGCTCCCATCGATGCAAATGACAATGCTCTGTTGTATGAACGAACATTTTCACGAAAACTTCTTTAGTCGGGATGCTCAGGATTTGATCGAAGCTCACGGAGAAATTGAAGATATTGGCCCATGTTTCCATTCGAGTCAATCGGCTTTTCCACTTTCACTTTGCCTTTCCGACAGCAACTTCTGAATTTTCCATTTGATGGCCGCTCCGCAGCAAATTTTCGTGAACCACAGAACTGGCAAACGACATTCCACACACTGCAGTTGTATTCAATCACTTCAGCTTCCACAAAGTGATTTGCCTCAGCACGAATAGCTTGACTACGATGTTCTTGTCCTACGAGACAATTATCAGTATTGCCAGCGAGGCGAGCTCGTGTCTGATGTGGAGTCTCTTGCTCTCATCGATTTGCTTGAGAAAGAGCGTGAGCTGCACGTCAAGCTTGCATCCAATCCGGACTTTCTTGTTCTCGTCGATTTGCTTTCCTTTCAGCATTCTCTCTCAGAAGTCTGTCCAAAATTTATTGGCTCTGGTGAACTCTCCATCTCTGCTTTCTTCTCTTTGCAAATTCTGTTTCTTAGCTGCAGTATCTTCGTCCTCCATGATAGTTGGCAACCCTGGACTGACGTATTTAGATATGACACTTTACATGTTCCAGCAGCTGGAACACTGCGAATAAGGTTGGCTCTCGCATTTTAGACACTTTATATGGGCAGTGAGATCGCCAGAGATGCCAATTTTTGCAAAAAAAGAGCAAAAAGCATTAAAATTGGTGATTTGTTTTAGCAGGGACTCTTCTGTATCTTGTGCAATTTTCAAAGGCAAACAATTTGTCACAAAATAATTTGAATAAACAATTCACTTTACTTTAGCACTGCTTTCAACTCACCTGAAGCTTTCAACTGACAATTTTTTCTTCCCTGATGGACGATTGATAGCGAAAAGTGAAAAAAGTAGACTGCCGATACTGTCAGAAGTCAGTTTTCAATTAAAAAAGATCAAAAATAACCATTAAAGTTATGAAAAAGATGACCAGAGCATTATTGTATCTTGTGTAAATTCAATGGCAGTGAATCTTGCACAAAAGTACGTCATCAAACACCTCACTGCATTTCACTGTAGCACTTTATTAATGGCAGTGATTCTTGCACGAAACTACATCATAAAATACCTCACTTCATGTCACTGTAGCACTGTATTTAACTCACCTTCAATTTGTTCAAATTCACTGCTCTGATACTTTTTTCTTCAGCTTTCGCTAGCTGGGGTTGAAATAAATTTGAATTCGATACAATATCTGGAAAATCACGGAGAAATGTCTATATTTTATCATAATTTAGAAGCATAAATTAGACTTAGCTGTTGTTTCAAGTGCTGAAAAAATAAAGATACCAAATACACTTTGTTGCTGTGTGGAATTATTTATTTGAGTCACTCTCAAAACGTCAAATTGAAAGCGAATTTGTGTAACAAATGTTTTCTTTTCCGCTCGACCTTCTTCTGCACGAGTGTAAAAATCCACCCGCTTATGATTAATGACGGGGTGGGGAGCCTCATGTGGAGTGACGTCACGTGCGGCACACACACATTCTTGGCCCGTTATATTAGT